TGAAGAGTTGGACACGACTTAACGACTGAACAACAACAACAAGGTGTTAATTACACTGGAGCCATCTCAATATTTCACCAGTCCCCTAGAGTCCTCAGGCCTGATGATACAACCAGGGCTTGAGGGACTTCCAGAAAGTTAAAAGGAATGAAGCCAGCCTCACTTTGGGGGGAAGAATGTTCCATAATGCAGGGCCACAGAAGAAAAGGCCCACCACCTATGACCTGCCAACTCCCTAATCTATGGGACCTGCAGCATGCCCTCTCTGCTGAAACAGGCAAATGTAATCAGGGAGCGGTGATCCCTCAAATAGCCTGGTCCCGTGCCATGTAGGGCTTTATGGTCAAAACCAACACCTTGAATTGGACTAGGAAACCAATGCAGCTTGTGGAGCAGAGGTGTAATGTGTGTTCTTCTAGAAACATACATAACTGCCCACACTACTTCATTCCGCACTGGCTGAAGCTTCTGGATACTCTTCCTTCAAATCAGATCAAATATCTGTAAGAGGACATGAGCAAGAGTTTTTACCTCCCTGGATCTCCGGATACTCTTCAAGGGCAACCCCATATAGAACGCATTACAGTGATCCAGCTGGGAGGTGACTAGGGCATGTGTGACCATGAGTAGAGCCCCTCAATCTAGGAACAGGCACAACTGTTGAGCAAAGGCCCTCCTAGCCATGACTGCCACCTGCTCCTTGAGCAGGAGCTGTGAGTCTAGGAGAACTCCCAGAATTGATTGTTTTCACTTGCAAGTTCAAATACTGGTTCAGAAGAGAGACACATGATTGGCAGCTTCAGGTGTTTGCCCAGCCCTTTGTGAAAATGCAGTGGTTTGGGGATCCAACCAGTGAGCCAAGGCTACCATATATCTTACATCTAGTGCTGGACAGTCAGCTTATATAAACAGACCACACAGTCCTGTAATACATCAGGCTCCTGCCTAACGTTTTCTTCCTCCTCTCGTCCCTGGTCCAATGGCCTATTTCAGTACATGCCAATTGATTAGGCTTTTACGTTACCTGTTCTCCTTGGCTAGCTTTGTGTCATGACACTAATATGCGTTATCCATTAACACTCCATGGATTCTGCCAATTAGTGCTCTCAGATGAACCTGTTTTGTATCTTATGGATGTTTCAACCTCTGTTGTTGTGCCTTGCAATCCAGGTACGAATATGATTTGATCCTCAACTCTGACATCAACAACCCCCAATACCATCAGTGGTTCTATTTTGAGGTCAGTGCCATGAAGTCTGCCATCCCATACCGCTTCAACATCATCAACTGTGACAAGCCAAACAGCCAGTTTTGTTTTGGTAAGAATCCTCATACTTCGCTCACAGGGAAGGGGTTGGGCCCACTGTCCATGGTTAGGCCCTTTCTTGGGAAAGTCAAGTGAATGAGCCCCTAAAACCTGAGTCTTCCAGAGCTCTTGTATTTCACCTTTCTTACTGTGTACTGAGATGTTTCCATATTGGTGTGTGGCTCCACAGAATTCCAATATATGTAAAGTAAGAGAAGCAAAAGAGAGCCAGTTTGATGAAGTGGTTAAAGGCACTTGGGAGGCTGTGAGTTCTAGTTCCACTTTAGGCATGAAGCCAGCTGGGTGACCTTGGGCCAATCCCTTTCTCCCAGCCCTAGGAAGAAGAAGGCAAGGGCAAACTATTTCTGAAAATGTTGCCAAGAAAACTGCAGTGACTTGACCATGGATATAATAGAACTCAAGACTGACTTGAAGGCAAAAGAAGTCAGAAGATGCATGTCCTATCCCAAATAGGGGGTAGGCATAGAAAGGGAGGTATAGAAGTGCAGCCTGACCTTCTTTTGGGTTTGACTAAGAGGATGGTGCTGTCTAGAAGATTAGTTCATTTAAACCAGGAATTCACAACTTTTTTCAGGTCATGGGATGTCCTTGGCTACACTGGAAAGGAGGTGAAAAAACCTTCATGTGGATGAATTTAAATACAATTTAATTGAAATTAAATTAACTAGAATTAAATGCTCCCTGAGTACCAATTTTTAGAGGGACCCTTGGAGTCACAGGTGGTCCTGGGACCTCCAGTTCTAGATCCCTGATTTTCAGAATGAACACTTCCAAATGCGCCATTTAAGTATACTGGGAGCTGAATGATCAAGAAATGGAAGTTGAGGCCATGGGATCCTCCTCTTCCCCTCATTTTCCTCCTGCTTTTGTTCTTCCTTTTTAAGAAGCACATGAGCAGGGAGGATGTGGGTGGGTCATAGGAAATGATGAGAAAGAGGTTAGGAGCAGAGGGCCATACTTATTTCAGGATGGTAATTTAGAAGACGTTTGAGGAAACGTGCAGTTTGTCTACCTACTGTAGGGCGATATTATGAGAACTACCTGTAAATCATGATAGTTACAGGAAAGTAAAAATAAGTTTCCTTCCCTCCTTCCCTCCATACTGTAAGCACTTTGAGATTAGAGCCCTGTTGGGTCACTTGTTGTTTACCTGCTGCATTAAAATGCAACATGAACAAAATCTACCATTTTAACCAAGGTGCACAACAAAGGAATGGAAGGAATATATGCAACGTCAGATGCTGAAAAATAATTTATTTGGGGGTTTCTTCTGTAGTGCAGGAGACAGGTTCTGGAAAGAAACACAAATTATTTTCTTGTTCCTGTATGTCCAGCTGCTTCATTTTTCTCTTCCTCTTCCTGGCTTATAAAAAAAGAAAAAAGAAAACTACCCCATACTTGTCAGTACAGTAAGGCTGTTTTGTCAGTTGGAAACTTGGTCCCAGCTGCTTGGAATGAGGCTCCTGAAAGACAATGCCATCAATTGCAATGGAACTCTGAGACCATATAATACCAACTTTATTGCAACGGAATTCTTTGTACTTACTTTAGTAACATAACCTGCCTAAATTACAAACTGAGCTTGTTGTCAAACCCATCCAATTTTCATTGTGGATTCCTGGATCTTGTAATTTGGTGAGAGCAGTAAGAATTCTCTGTGAGAATTAATGTTGCCCTTTCTGCCCCCAGATCCTAAAGGATGGGAAGTCCCATGTACAAAATTACAAAATTGGAAGGATGGGAGAGATGCAGAAATGTGTGTAATGATCATATAACTGACTTCTGAAATCTGAAAAGAGCTTGCAGTTTTACTCAGTCAAATGTGCTTACTGTCTTCTGTATGATTGGAAGATTTGTGCAAGGCAGTTATCCTCTCATGAGACTTTCCTTGTTAATAGAAAGAGGTCAGAACTGGGGATGGCATTTTTATAAAATCAAAGCAATTTGGGACTTCAACACAGAGTTCCAGTAATGTGTACTTTGATGTATATCAAGCAGAGAAATGACCATGGCTTGGGCGTAGGGAAAGTTGAAAACAGAAATAATATGAAAGGAGGACTTGTAACCTCACACATCTCCTGAGTGTGGGGCAATTCCAACTGAACAGGTTGAATAACTGATGCATAGAACAAATCAAATATCAGATCAACCATCAAAATATATTATATAGCCGTTTTTCATTTCCCTCAAATGCAAAACTATTTGGAGGCCTGGCTGGAAAAAAAATTGATGACATCAGAAGAGGTCCACCAATCTAGGTTTGACACAATCAGGTTTTGCTTTGAACTTGCAGAACAAATGGATATCTTCAGATTGTCAGCAGTAGAGGTGCATCAGAAAGTTCTTGTTGTATAAAAAATATTATTTCTGTCTTCACCCCTAAAAGTGCCATAAGTAAAACAGCTGTTCCCATCCCACTGCAGTGGAAATCATATCATATGTCCCCCCAACCCCAAACTCCTTTTTTTGTGTAGGTATGCAACCAGTCATATATTCAGTGAAGGAAGCTCTCCAGGGCAGACCTCACTGGATTCGGGTGGGCTATGATATCTGTTATTACAAGTAAGTGTCTGCTCCTCCTCTTCTTGTGTGACATTTGAGCTTCCTGCTAATTATATTTATTCCATTAACATCTGCCTATCAGCATTACTTACTCCATTGTATGCATACACATTTTAGGGTTTTCAAAAGCAATGGGTGATGTGTTGGGACTAACAACCCAACATTCTCAGCTAGCATGGCCACTCTGGAGATTGTAGTCCCTGAACATTTGAAAGTATGTTTTGCAATTTCCCAGGAATCTTCCAAACTAAAATCCTCCAACATGGTTTGCAAACATGCAGCAAAGGATTTTAGGATTGGTGTGTTTGTGTGTATGCTGAAGGATGCAGAATGCACAGCTCATGCCTGCGATGCATACTAACAGTGGAAAAGCAATTTCCCCCATAATATTCTATGCATTCTTTTCCTGCTCTGAAATCCCCCCTCCCCAGTGGGTTTTCTCTTCTCTCCACATGTCTTACACTGTTAACCCTTTCAAAGACAGAGAGGTTGTTTGAAACTTTTCCCCATTGATCGTTTCCAATCTTTACTGGGGTATTTCTACATGGATCCAATTCCAGATTGAAGACTTTCTGGCCAACTCTCCAAGAGCCGTTCACCTAGATCTTTCCACAGTCACAACACTGTGACTTGTGCAGAGGAACAAGGTGCAAACTCCTCTGAGTGGTACAGTCATTCTTGCTTTCTCAGCCTTTGCATGGATAAGAAGCATTTCTCCCACTTCAGCTTGCTAGAAATTAAAACCAAGCAAATTGTTATTGAATGGAAATATTTGGCTAAATAGGATAATGACCTCAGAGACTCTTGGAAGCTTTCTATATACAGGGATGGGAGAAAGCTTACTCGTTAATAACAGCCATGGATACCCACATTTCAAACTGCAATATACCTACCTGTGGTTAGACTCACGGATAATTCTGAATGGTCATATCTATGATTTCTAACATATTTTTTAAAATAGAACGATTGTTGCTAATTAATAACCTCCTGCCTTGAAAGGTCTGCAGGTGGTCCTCTTCCTAAAAAGCACCGATCAACATGAAGACCTCCCATTTAAGGAGGTTTTGTTTGTTTATGGATCAGAAGCCCTTAAATCCCATTTTTGGCCTTAAAGTCTCCCAGAGAAGTTTATATAAAGTGAAGGGGATGGAGAGAAAGGATCTCCTGCCTAGAAACGTATGGTTTAGAAGAACGGGCACGAAACACAACAGAACAAAACAAAAAAACATCCACAGATGAATAGTGTGTAGATGCTGTTTATATCTATGTGTCTGTTGATTACTGCCTTGTCTGAATACCAAGCTTCCAGGAATTCCCTCACATTTTTGGATTTAGCTTGGT